CAATTTTGACAGGTTTCGCAGTTTCGGCGTTTCGGCATTTCGGCATTATATAAGAGGTTTCACCTTTCAGCATTAGGCCAAACAGGTTTCGGCAAGCAACCTTATATATATTATTATATAATAATACATATTATAACAAAGACTATTTCTATTTGTACACTAGTGTGCGAAACACGGATCACGTGTTTATCATACTTTTCCGGTGATCTACATAAAAATATCCTTTTATGGAATTTTGTGTAACGAATTTTCATTTTACTGAGAATCAAAATTGCCTTTTTTGGGTTGTGTAACGTTACTTCAGTATCCAAAAATGGAAATTCAGGTAAATTTTGGCTGGAATTATAAATTTGGCCGAAATTATAGGGCGTGACATATAATATGTGACAAATAAGGTTTTTCTTACTGAAAAAATTCTAAGTCCCTAGAATAAATAGTAAAAATGGAAAACTAGAAAGGTGTGACATGGGTGACAAATTAAGATCACGTGACCCGTGTTTCGCACACTAGTGTATTTTAAGAAATTTTCTATAACAAAATATCATTATAATAGATAGTACTTAAATTTTAAAAAATAGATTTTAATTTAAAAGGGCAGTTTTATATAATATTAATAATTAAATATAAGATATTTTATGACTAAAATAAATTTTTAGATTGTTAAACTTAATTTTAAAAATAGGAAAAATTTATTTAATACCCTCCATTATTTTACTGCAGTCTCATTTATACCATATGATAATCATATGATAAAATATATTTTAATTTTTTATGTATGTGATATATATAAAATCATAACCTTTTAATTCTAAACTAATCTTAAGTTTCATATTTAACACAATTATTAAATAATTTTAAAATTTTAATAGGTTTTTTATTGCTTTATTATTGTAAATATATATTAAATTACTATAAATCCTAACTTTCTAACCCTAAACTAACTCTAACTAAAGTTTCATATCCAATACAATTATTAAACAACTTTAAAATTTTAATAGGTTTTTATTGCTTATTATCAAAATATATATTAAATTACTTTCTAATTTTATAATCCTAAACTAACCTTAAGCCTTGCATTCAATACAATTATTACTTAATACAATTATTAAACAACTTTAAATTTTAGTATATAAGAATATATAAATCTTTTATTTACTTCTTATATGTTTTTGTACTATATATATATTCCTTTTTATTAGCATTTTCTTTACCTGAAATATTATTACTGCTTTTTCAAAGATTTCTATAATTAACATTTAAAGGCTGAGAAAGATTAATATATCAAGAGTATTCTGTTTTCTTTGATTCTTTATTTCTAATCATTATTTAATCAAATAATCAATACATTTTAATCTAATATTACTATCATTGTTTTTTCTAACTCCTTTTTTTTCAATAGAAAATCTGTTAAACTATTCAAATTCAATACAATAATAAATAACTATTTCAAAATTTGGAATCTTCATTTCTTTAGCTAAGGTAGAACATGACTAAAGGTATGAAATATCTTTACTATATTGAATTAAATTAGTGCCTTCAATATCAAATAGAGCTGTATATAAAAAATATAAAAAATGTAATTAATTTTTGTTATATGGATTAGTATAATAAAAGTAAAATACTTATGTAAAAAAGCTATTTGATTAAAAGGTAGCTATATATTATTTAATGATAAACTTATTATAATTGATGGATAATTTAATATATTATTAAACAAATATATTTTATATGTGATCTTATTAAAACTTTTAAAAAAGGGCTTTTATATTATAATTTAAAAAAAGAAAAAAAGAAAAGTTAAAAAAAAGTTTTATGAAAAAAATTTTAAATCAATATAATAATAATATAAATGTAATAAATTACAAGATCAGGTAACTCATGATAGATTTTACATAAATAATATATATATTTTTTCTTAAAATTAATATTTATTTAACACATTTTTTAAAATTCTGTATAAATCATCTAAAAAAAAATCAGATTATCAAATTATTAGATAATTCATATAAAAGTAATAGAATTCTAAAAAGTATTATAATATACTTATGGGCTGAAGGTTAAGATTCACTATAGTAAAGGATTCACTATAGCGAAGGTGAACTGTATTAAGAATTATTATTTATATAGAAAATCTGTACCCGAGCTTTTTTTTATTATAGCAAATTATTCACTATATAAAAATTCACTATAGCGAGAGTGAACTGTAAATTTAATATTTTTTTTTTTGCAATGCATTTAGCAGTTTATTAAATAAATTATTAAAGTTAATAATTATATAAAATAAAATAAAAACTTAAACTATAATCTAATATTATTAATGATCAAATCATCTGTCATGCTGAAAAACATTTCATATATGCACTATTAGGTAAAAATTTTGCTTAGAAAATAGGATTCATTTAAAATAACCCATTTTTAGCATAAAATACTTCTTTTTCTACACAAAGCAATTACAGAACCTACAATTTAATATTTTTAATTATAATTATATTTTTATTACAATTAATTTTCAATATAATAATGAAATAAATAATTAGACTAATTAGATTTTTATTATAAAAAATCATATTAATGCTAAAACTAATATAATAAAAAAATATAGTTTAATATATTAAAATATAAATATAAAATAAAAAAAAGTAAATATAAATCTCACTTTTATATATAATATTTAAATTTTATATTTATTTTAAAAAAAGGAAATTTTATATACTGATTATTTAATTTTGACTAGAATTACTAATACTTTACATGATTTAACAAAAAAAAAACCCCTTAAAAAAAAAGTTTTGTCAAATAAAAAATAACATTTAAAATTATCTTTAATGTTTTAAACTTGTAGAGTAAAGAAAAATACATATAATAAATATTTTTTAAAAAGTTTGTATATCAGTCGTTGGAAATGTCACAAAAAAAGCAGGCAAATTTTTTTTATTAAGGTCGGTAAAAAAAAAATTGTGGCGCAGTATCACCTTTAAAAGTATAGCATATATATATATAATTAAAGTTGGGCAAAATTAGTTAGATCAGCGTAAATTTGCCGATCAAAAATTCATAATTCCGGCCAAATTTTTTGTAATGCTGGTCAAATTTATAATGCCGGCCTAAATTTTACGAAAATTAAAAAATAAAGGTATAACGTAACACTACATTTATATAATATGATGCCTAAACTTAAATAACAAAAGTTAAACATATTGACCTCTAATATAATTTTATTAAAGAAGTTTTCATATAGCATTTATTACTTCACTTGGATCTATCCTTGAAGGTGGCTTACTTTTTATTATTAAAAGTAACGAAAAGTTGAAGAAACTTTAGAATTTATTAAACGCGGTAAGAAATTTAAACTCTAAACTAATACTAGTAAAAATATACATATTTTTTATAGTTAAAATTTGAAAAGCAACCTTTTTTTTAGATTTAACGTTTATTTAATAATAAACCCAGCAAATAATGAAGAACCTTTTAACGAATATGAGGAAATTTGATAAGTGATGAAGATTTTGTGGATAAAGACGAAGCTTTTTATGCTGAAAACGAAAATTTAGTGGATAACATTGAATTTTTTAATAATTATGAGGATTTAAGTAATGTAGAAAATAATAATAATGATGAATCTTTATTTGAATTAGATTTTAATACGCTCACGAAGGTTAAACAATTTACTCAACAAAATAATTCTGATGGAGAGGATGAAAATATAATAAGTGATACAGAAAGTAATTTTTCAGAATCAGAATCTGATGAAGAGCGTGATGAAATTATTGTTCAATTAAAAGATAAACAAGAATTAAGTCCATGTGTTATAATTGATGTATTTGAAGATAAAATTCAAAGATATAATTCTACAACAAATTTAAGGAAACTATGGCAGATGGTTGGTATGTGGCAAATTGATGAAGAAGAGATTAAGAAAAAGCATTTTTCAATTAAAGATTTGGGCATTTGTTATTCACACTTTATGTACGATCAAAATAAATTACATATATCAAATTTAAAGCAAACTAAAGATTATACAGAAAGTATTATTCACCATTGCCGTTGTTTATTTTGTAATAAAAATAAGTTTTTTTTTAGCCGTGGTAAAAATTGTATACAACATTCATATACAGTTATGGATAAAAATATTCAAGTTCCTTGCATAGGACAAAAAAAATGTGGTGCTTTGCAAGAATACCATTCTCTTGTAATTTCAACAGAATTAAGCAAATATGCACGATATATATGTATGACTTGCTATGAAAAAAAGGGTGGGCATGTTTACCAACGTGTTGGACGAGGTGTAAAAGAAGATCCAAACTGTGACAATATGTCACATCACGAAAATGACACTAAAGAAGCATTGGAAGCAATTGGACATTAGATTTTTAATATTGCAGCTTCTGAAAAAACAATGTGGCAAAAAAAAGTTTTAATACATTTAGTTTGTGCTATTACTCAACTTAATCAAGAAAAATCTGATAATTTATCAACAGATACAAAAACTGAAGTACCTTCTTTATTTATTATTCTAATTATCCTTGCCTTAATGAAATTTATTTATAATTCAGATAAAAAATTAAATCCTAAAGATCTCACGCCAAAAATTTTTTTTGAATTTGGAGAAGTATTAGCACATTCAACAATATTTGCAAAAAATGAATTAAAACTTCATAAAAAATCGCTTGAATCACCTATTTCTATAGAAGAGTATCGTGCATCATTTTCTTTATGTTTAGTACAATTCTATGATGGTCTTCTAAGAACTTTATATGAAACAAAAAAGAAAATTATAGATCGAAAAAAAAACATCGTGAACAACTACCAAAAGCTTTAAATTATGAAAACATTAATAAACAAATTACATTTTTTGTTTCAATAATTTTAAATATTGCGTTTAAAGAATGGAAAATTTGGTTACCTCAAACAATGGCGAGTCTTTATCGTAAACCAAAACTCTTATCTTCTTTGCAAGGAATTTTAAAAATAGTTAATATTACTAGTCATACTCAAAGACATGAACGTAATTTAGAAAAAATTCGCACTCTTTTAGTGGATCCAACCAGTCGAATTCTTCGTGAAGAGAATATTTGGAACTTAGGTATAATCGATAATATTGATTTTAAGGAAACTACGTTTGGCTATAAAAACATTTTTGATGCTATTAGGGGTAATTCACATACATGCTACATTACGCATGTTATTTCAATATCAATTACCTGAATCACCCAAAGTTCTAGAAGCGCAAGAAATAATTCAAGATCAGCAACAACTTTTTGGACAAAATTCTTTCTCACAAAAAACATTTCATACTTTCAATTTAATTTTTGAAAAACTACTTGCCTTTAGTGAAAATTTTACATACCATTCAGATTTTGATGAAAGTGATATACATAATCAAATTATGACATATTTTACAATTGGTTGTAATTTTGAGCTGCCAAATATTGTAATTCTTGATGCAAGAGATCCATCATCAAGTAATTCTGCTGTATATAAATGTTTAAAGATGTATGAAAATGAAATTAGTATTGGAAATAATGATTATATTAATGTTGCTGCAGATGAAGCAATATTTAGGCATGGCATTAGTTATTGTAAAGCAAATAATAAAACAAAAATGATACTTAGGCAATGGCACACGAGTAAAGATATGATGTCTATGCTAATAACAATATTCTCAGGTTATGGTATTTTTAATATAGCAGGAATATTAGGCGTTCAATTTTTGGATAAATTGGAAAAAGGTGTAGATTTTAGGGCTACTTCAAAAGTACTGGAATTAATTTGGGTTGCAGTTGGACTAGCAATTCATTTATATGCAAAAAAGAAAAAACAAACATTAGATGATATACTAGAAGAAAATAAACTTATAAAAATTTGGTACCTATATTTTCAGTGGGCTAGTTATTGGCGTGCACATTGGTTTGGAATCTGATGGGGTATCTTTGATCTACAGCATGAAAGTTTAAAAGCTTTTTCCCCATTATTCCCCATTGCTGGTAAATCAAACTATGCTAGATCCATAACACACCACATTTATTGTATTGAAAATGATTCTAAACTTCGTGCAATGCTTCGTATAGCACCATCCATTAATTTGATAAGTTCTGGCCATTTTTTTGCGTATGATGAAGCATTGAAAACATTTGGCATAAAATTTGTAAAACAGAATGTAACGAGAATTCCTACAGATTCAGAAGAATTAAAGTTAAAAATAAAAGCCACACAATTAGAGAAAGAATGAACAGATATGTTGATTTGTGATTACATTGGTGATTATGTTCAAAGTTCCAAGCTACATAATGTTCAATCTCGAAAGGAAAAGATTTGGGAGCTTGTACATCAGTTAGTTGATGCTTTTGAATTTGCAAATCCTCTTGAAAATCTAATATTTGAATTCTGTAATAATATAAATGATAAAGGAATTGATCAGTTAGTTGCTGCATATGAAATTGGAATTAATAGGTTACAAAAAATAGTAAATCAAGAGATTCTTTTGACAGAAAATTACACAACTGTTAGAAGAAGAGAAAGAAATATTACACGTGTTATGCTTGCCGATATTGCTAAAATGAAAAAAGAAAGAAAATTAGAGGAAAGGGAGGAAAGAGGGAAGGAAAAGAAAAATAAGAGAGGGAGGGGAAGAGGAAGAAGAAGGGGGAGTGGAAGAGGAAGAAAAAGGGAGAGTGGAGATGATGAAGAAGCGACCACATAAAATAATTCTTTAATTAAAACATTAAAAAAATTCTTTTTTTTGCAATAGATATATAATAGAATTTTAATTTATTTTGGAAATTACATGAAATTACATGATAATTAATATAAATATACAGTAATTAGGATTAATAAAAAAATTAAAAGGTAATTAAAATATTTTGATCGTTTTACAAAAAAAACAATTAGCTAACGGTAAAAAAGAACAGTCAAATTCCATTAAGAAAAAAAGCCCATTTACCTTTGTCTGTTAGTAAATACTATTCAGCTTACACAAAAAAAGATAAGTTTAGATCTACGCAAAAAATAATAACTTTTAATATATAATTAAAGCAATCTACATGAAGAAAAGTTGTTAACTTACAAGCTGCTAAATAAAGGGTGGCGTCAATCGTCTAATTATTTGATTGAGACGAAAAAAATTAATGATGTAATTTAAAAAAATGTTATACAGATTATAAAGGATCATAAACATGAATATTTACCAAAAAAAAGTATCTTTTATTTATCTTTTTACTGCATTTGACTTCGTAAAGCTTCTTATTATAGTAAAAAAATCAGGTTTTTACCTTTTACACATAAACCGTCTAAATAACCACATTTATGACCTTAAAAAATTTTTTTCCTCTCGTAAATTTACATATATCTTTATTGTTAAAAATATATTTTTCTATTTATCCCAATTTGGATCTTGAAAAACGCCCATTTTTAAGGTGTTTTTTTATAAAGGTTTAAAAAAAATTTTTTTTTATAAAAAAAAAATAATAACAATAAAAATTGATAGAACACATGATATTCTATCAACTTAATAATTTACATAAGTGTGATTGTTTGAAATTCAATGATTGGTTACAAAATGAAGAAGTGCGATCAATGTTACACAAAACTAATTAAATATAAAAATGATCTGCATGTGACATTTCCGATGACTGATATTAAGAACTTCTTTTTTTTATTATAAAATACAAAATTTAAAAACTGTAAAATTTAAATTATTTATTTAAAAATAATTTTATATTTTATAAAACTAATATTAAATTACTTTTTACTATATTATACTAATTAAGATATTTCTATTTAAGAATACTTTATTTTATAAAATCCAAATATTTTATTAAATATAAAAATTTTACTTTCAATTAATACTCTCTTTAATTCTAATAACTTAAGCTTAATTTTAGTAAAAATTATATTATATTTCTCTTATATAATATCCAGTATATTATATATACATACCACCCAAATTATTTTAAGCTGTTGTAATTATAAGTAAAATCCCAAATTCAATTATGGCATTCCAAATTATTTTGGTACTTTACATAGTAAATTATATATAAACTGAATAAATTACAGCATTCCAAATTATAATTATGACATCTCAAAATAATTTGGGCAGCATGTATAATATTACAAAATATCTTTGGATATTATTTAATATTTAAATCAGGTTTTTTATATAAGATTTAAGGTATCTTAATTAGTACAATATAGTATATTTTAAAAATATATTTTATAAAATTTTTATTATACTAAAATAATCTTAATATTTACTTTACTAGAAGTAAAGTTTAAAGTTTATTTATATCATATAATTTATATTGAAAAAATGTATTTGTAACAGCCTGTTACATATCTTATTTGTAACATCCTTTTTTTATTTTTTTTTAATAATAAATTTAATATGTGTTTCACAAATAAAATTTTTATATACAAAATTTAATTTGGAAAACTTTTACTTAATGTATTTAAGACAGTTTCATAGATAAAATTTTAAGTTATAAGCAGTTTCTTGAAATTTTTTAAAAAATTCTTTTGTTTTAGTTACACGACTGATCTTTTGTTTTTGTTTACATTACGCCTGATCTTAAATTTTAATTGGATAAAATTGGGGGTTGTTACAAATAAGATGTGTAACAGGCTGTTACAATTAGATTTATCCATTTATATTTATTATATTTATACATGCTATCTAAATTATTTTAGAATACTATAATTATAATTTGGGATGCTGTAATTCATTCAGTTTATATATAATTTACTATATAAAATGCCAAAATAATTTGGAATGCTGTAATTGAATTTGGGATTTTACTTTTAATTACATAATTACGGCAACTCAAAATAATTTGTGTAACATATATAATTGTATTAAAATTTTAATTTTTTATTTTAAAAATAATTAATAATTTTACTAATAAAAGTATTTAAAATAAGTTTACTTAAATATTTAAATATATACTAAAAATACAATTTTTTTTTTTTTTTATTTATTCTCATAGGGATTAAAAATACAATTCAGTTATATAATTTAATAATAAATAAATATATTATATAATAATTCAAAAATTAATACAATTATTAAAAAATATTTAACTTTACAAGTATTATAATTACGTATATTTATGAAAATTAATATATAAATAATTTTGATATTACTGACTAATTTATAAAAAAAATTGATTTTATTTAATTAAAATGGTAAAATTATACTTTAAAATTAGTAAATAAAAAAAAATTTTATCATTATAAAAAATATAAAATTCTTCTATATATTATACTTATAAATTGCTAAAGCTTACTAGTAATAATAGTTACTATACTAGCATTATACTAATGTATCTTCAACTAGAATTAACATTCTAATAAAATACTATTAATTAACATTATATCATAATTTTACTATTACCACCAGTGATGTTTAACAATACTCTATTTTATATTTATACTTATAAAATTAATATACTGTACAACTAGTTTTAAATTTTTAATTAATAAAAAAAATCAATTTTAACTAAAGTAGTAAAATTTTACTCTAAAGTTATAGTAATATTATAAAAAATTATTTTTTTTATAAATTTCATTTTTAATTTATAAAATTAAGTTGTATAAGTTTAATAATATATTTGGAAAAAAAGTTTCAGTTTAAAAAATTTATTTGTAATATAAAGAAATTTTTATTTATATGTATAAAATTGTAAAATATAATATATATAAAATTAATATAAAACTAAAATTACATTACTAGTAAATTTCATTGAAAATAAATCTTTTCTAATAAATGTAAAATTAATTCATTATATTAAATAAAATTTATTTTAATAAAAATATAATATAAATCATCTTTATTTTTATTTTTATTTTTTTTTCTGCAATGTATTTGTATATATTTTAAATAATTTTTTTTTTTTTTTTATATATTTTAGAAGTATCTTTATAGTTAGGCATATATAGCAACTAATTTTATAATTTTAAATTATAATTGATATAAAAATAATTTAATAGTATTAAAATTTATTTTATAAAAATAAATATTTATAAAAAAAAGAAGTAGCTATATAGATTATATTTTTTTTAAAAAGTATAATTATATAAATAATTGTATAGAAATTAACCTGTATTTTATTTTTATTATTATTTTTATATTTTTTTTTAAATTTTCAATATTTTCAATATTTTAATATTTTTTAATTTATTATTATTTAATAGGTTTAAATTTTATATGCAAATGCATTGCAATGCACCCTTTATAATATCTCATATATAAAAGTCAAAAATACTATTCTAATACTTTGGTCTTTAAGTAAAGTTATAAGGTAAGTAAAAATACACATAATATGTGTCTTTTAAAAGCTTTATAATATATATTGTACATAAAGCTTATACAATATTTATTCAAAAATTAGGAAATTTAACAATATTATGTAATAAGAAATGATCAACATATTTATTATAAGAAAATTATCAAAAAAAGGGAATATATTGCTATGCATTTACATAAAAATAGTTTTTCCTTTTTAATTACCATTTAATCCATTCAATTTGTAGAAATAAATATTAAAAATATTTTTACTTATTTTTTTTTTTTTAAATAAAAAATAAAAATATCTTATTTAATATTTTATTTTTTTTATTTTTTTTATAAAATATAAATTAATTAATTTATTATAAATAAAGTTTTTTATACTTTTATTTTATATATAAAATCCTAAATATTAATAGTTTAATAAAAAGATATTTTATAATAATAATAAATATAAACCTTTAATCTTTTAAAATAAAAGTTTTTAATAATTTATTACAAATAAAATTATTTTTTTTATATAATATTGCAATTAAAACTAATAATTAAATAATAAAAACTTAACCTTTACTTTTATAAATTTTTTTATTTATATTTATAATATTTTTAAAATATTTTAAATAAATATAATTAAACAAATATATTATTATATATTATTTAATGGATAAATCTAATTGTAACAGCCTGTTACGCGTCTTATTTGTAATAACCCCCAATTTTATCCAATTAAAATTTAAGATCAGGCGTAATGTAAACAAAAACAAAAGATAAGTTATGTAACTAAGAAAAAAGAATTTTTTAAAAAATTTCAAGAAACTGCTTATAACTTAAAATTTTGTCTATGAAACTGTCTTAAGTACATTAAGTAAAAGTTTTCCAAATTAAATTTTGCATATAAAAATTTTATTTGTGAAACACATATTAAATTTATTATTAAAAAAAAAATAAAAAAAAGATGTTACAAATAAGATATATAACAGGCTGTTACAAATACATTTTTTCTTATTTAATATAAATATATAAATTACTATTTTAAATAATTTACTAATAATATATAGTTTAAAATTTATTTAATTAAAAAAATTGAATAATATATAAAATTAAATATTATAATTTTATTTTTAAATACTAATTACTTTACACTTAACGTAGTCAAAGTGATTCCTATTGGGTAGTTAGGTAGAGTATAGGTAGAAGTTATGTAGCGTTATCTGTTATTATTCGAATTTTATTTATATACTGAAATTTATTTATTTATCAATTTTAAAATATATTAATTTACAATTGAAAATATATTGTTATTAACATTTATTTAAATTACAAACAAAAAAAAGCTATATTAGACTAATTGCGCAGTGATCTGCAATTCCACAATCACGTGATTCGTGTTTTGACGTCTCTCATAAAATATCATTATCCGT